GGTGCCACACCAGGGGCCGAGGGGGGCCAGCAAACGACAACGGTGGTGGTGGCGCTAGACTAGGATGAAGAAGGACATCGGCACAGGTGCACCTGCCAACCACGACGATAGCGCAACTGCTTCTGCTGCTACACTCTGCTTCTCCGTGCCTGATCCACTAGCATTGGCACTAGGGTTGGAGCCATGCGCAAGCACGATGCCTCCCGCATGGTTCAACCCAATGCTGGAGGAGCTCGCCGCCTCGCAGGTCATGCGCCGCGCAGCGAGCGCGCCAGCACCGGGGTGTCCGCCTTCTCAGGAGGTTCGAGCTTCATTGATGGACAATAGTTCTCCGGCGCGACTACTCAGTGCATGATGGATCCGCCACTGTCGTCGCCTGTGCAGTGCATGCCTCCTCGGACGGTTGTCGTGGGTGATGCGGTGCCTGGAGAGACAGGGGCGCACCGTGTGGGTCGCCTCCGTCGACCCAATGCTGGACGAGCTTGCCACCTCTACACCGTGAGCCAACCAGCAGCCTCAATAGCGCATGAGTTCCTGCCAGCGGTCGTGGGTGCTGTTGCGTTGCGTCAGAGGAGGGTGCGGAGGCGAAGATGGCCAACAACCCTCCTAGCGACGTCTAGTCGACCTCCGACGATAGGGACGACGCTACACGGACTCTTGGCATCCCCCACGCCAACGCTGTTTCGGTCGCTTCAGGAAGAGCTCGAGTCGCATATATGCGTCCCTCTAGAGCCCCCATCATCCATGCTGCCCCAAGCTCAGGAGATCCAAGATGCCAAAGTCTGGGTTGACCAAGGCGCAGCGTACGCCTCACCATGAAACCCCACGCGGCCAACGCCACGATCCAGGCGCAGAACGTTCTCTTGCAGAAGCTTAGCATCGCCGTCGACACCAACGCTGTGGACGCCGAGGTCGTTCAAAAGTTTCGGGCGACCTTTGCGGCCCCCATGTCGGCCTACAAGCAAAACGCACTAGCAGTGCTGTTTTCGGGCGATTTTGACCCAGTGGCCATAAACTTACATTTGGCCGAATTTGACGCCGAGGATACGTAGGTCGTGTGCTTAGCCGGTTTGTCGTGGTTTATTGTTGTGTAATCACAACCACGTTGTGTGTTGTTCGGTCGTTGGTCTTGGTAATCACTGGATTACCATGGCTACCTTAGGATGTAACGAACTCTACTTCTGCTTAATAAAAAACGTGCCATGGCATGATCACCAAAAAAAGAGAGTTTGTACCTTTGTAAGATGTTTTTTAGAACACTTGTAAGATGCTTCTCCAGGTGTACGAACAACCACTACCGGATACAGGAGCTTTGCCAAACACTCGACAAACCATTTGCCGAGTGTTACACTCGGCAACTGGTTTATTGGCAAACGCTGTTTTGCCGAATGTTTTTCATCGGGCACTCGGCGAAGACTTTGCCGAGTGCCACAAAAACACTCGACAAACATTTTTTGAAAAAAAACCCTCAGCCACTGGAGGAAGAAAGGGCGCCGTCGGATCCGGCCACCCCGCTCGCACCGGCGCTGGCCCGCCACCGGATCCAGCCTCCCCACGCCGCGCCACCACTGGAGGGAGAGAGAGAGGAGAGGGTGCTGCTGGAGGAAGAAAGGGCGCCGCCGGATCCGGCCACCCTGCTCGCACCGGGGCTGGCCCGCCACAGCCGCCACCGGATCTAGCCACCCCGCGCCACGCCACCACCAGAGGGAGACAGAAGAGAGGGTGCCACCGGAGGAAGAAAGGGCGCCGCCGGATCCGGCCACCCCGCTAGCACCGGCGCTGGCCCGCCACCACCGCCACCGGATCCAGCCTCCCTGCGCCGCGCCACCACCGGAGGGAGAGAGAGAAGAGAGGTGCCACCGAGGGAAGAAAGGGCGCCGCGGATCCGGCCACCCCGCTTCGCCAAGGCTGCCCGCCACCGCCGCCACCGGATCCAACCTCCCCGCGCCGCACCACCGCTGGAGGGAGAGAGAAGAAAGGGTGCCGCCGGAGGAAGAAAGGGTGCCGTCGGATCCAGCCTCCCCTAGCCGCTCCGCCACCGGATCTGGCCTCCCCGTGCCGCACAGCCACCGGATCCGGCCTCCCCGTGTCGCGCCACCATCGGAGGGAGAGAGAGAGGGCGCAGGAGGGAGAAAGGGCACCACCGGATCTGCCCTCCCCGTGCCACGCCGCCATCGGATCCGGCCTCCCCGCGCTGCGCTGCCACCGGGTCCGGCCTCCCTGCGCCACGCCGCCACCGGAGGGAGGAGAGAGGGCGCCGCCGGAGGGGAGAGAGACGCCACACCATGGATCCGTGTTGCGCCGGGGAAGAAGGGAGGGGCGGGGAAGAAGGGAGCGTCCGGGAGAGGAGGGGAGGGAGGCGGCGCCGTCGGGAGGAGAGGGGGCGCTGGGGCGGGAGGAGAGAGAAGGGGTGGGGACGGGAGGGCGCAGGTGGTGGTGCTGGGGACACGGTTAGGTTAAGTAGGTTTTTTTTTGTTTGTCGAGTGTCCTAGATGGGGCACTCGGCAAAGTTTTTTTAAATTTTTTCTTCTCCTACTTTTTTTTGCCGAGTGTTTTAGATCTGAGCACTCGGCAAAGTTTTTTTTTTTTTTTTTTTCTTCTTTTTTTCTAGAAAAAAGATTTTTATTTTTTGCGAGTGTATTTTTTAATACTCGGCAAACAACCTCTTTGCCGTGTGTTTTTATTTTGACACTCGGCAAAACGCTCTGTTTGCCGAGTATTTTTAGTGTGCCACTCGGCAAAGAACTTATTCGCCGAGTGTCCGAGGGAATATACTCGGCAAACATAAAAACACTCGACAAATTTGAGGATTCCGGTAGTGAACCCTCTTTCACTCTCGCTTTCAGCAGGTGCGTTCCAGGGAAATATTTGGCCTTGAGGATCCTGGCACACAAGGACTCCAGGTTTTGGATGATTCTCCACCCCTGTTTAGCCCACATGGCCATGTTGAAGGAGTGGAGGTCTCTGAAACCAAGCCCCCCATCTGACTTTGGGCTCACCAGCGTTTCCCAACTGAGCCAGTGCATACACTTCTCCCTGTCCTGAATGTTCCACCAAAACCTTGCTATCATCGAACTAATCTGGGAGACATTTCTTTGGTGATGTCAAAACACCCCATCGCAAAGACCAGAATCGCTTGTGTCACAGCCTTGATAAGCACTTCTTTTTCCGGCTCTAGACAGCAGTTTTTCCTTCCACCCTGAATGCACTGCCAAACTCTCTCCTTTAGGTATGCAAAAACATTCGTCCGGGCTCTCCCTACATACACTGGTAGCCCCAAGCACCGCTCGTTCATTGCTTCCGAATTGATACTCAAAGCTTGCATAACTCCTTGCCTGTCCCCAGAGCATGTGTTTGTACTGAACATTACAGCCGATTTGTCGACATTGATCAATTGTTCAGAGCATTCTTCATACACATTCAAAATATCTTTTAGCTGCCACACTTTCCCTGGACAAGCCTTGCACATGATCAGTGGATCATCAGCGAAGAGGAGGTGCGAGACCGTCGGGGCATCTCTACAGATCCTAATTCCGTGCAGTCTACCCTCCCGCTCTGCGTGAGCCAACAAGGCAGAGAACCCCTTGTGCGCATAGAAGAAAAAGGTACGGCGACATTGGGTCGCCTTGGCGCAGCCTCCTCTCCGGACTGAACTCTTCTGACAATTCACCATTGATTTTGATCATGTAATTAACAAAGGAGACGCCGTAGGAGTATGTAGTACTACAACTGTATAGTAGTAGTTGTCAATAACAACTGCACTGCACCGTTTCGTTATGCTTTGAGCGGAGCGGTGGACTCGAGCCGAAAGCAAGTCGCCACTGGAGTCCGCGATTTGCTGTGTGGCTCGCAGCCTGGGCCCGTGCACAAGCCATCCATGATCCAACGCATGCGCATCCAACCCGCCCAGCCCAGTCCAGACGAGCTCAGTTTCATCCGGACCACGAAGTGACGTCACTCAAGCGTCCCCGGGCCCGGCCCGGCCCACCCAGTCATAGCCAACTACACGACACCCACCTTGCCGTCCTCGGCTCCTCCACCCCCGTCCTCCCCTGCCCCGTCGCGTCCGACACTCGCCGCGGGCAACTCCCACGTCCCACCGCCGCCGCTGCAGCAGCAGCCCATCCGCTTCCATCGCCCCGCGGAGGCCTCCGGGTTCGCCTCCGCACGCTCCGCCTCTCCCGCCGCCCTCCTCCGGGGCCCTCGGCCGCGCCGTGGCGCGTTAAACCCTAGATCTGCTGCCCCCGCGCTGGCCGCGGCCGCGTCCCGACGCCGGCGCGCCGCCGATCGCCGCACGTCGCTCGATTCCAGGTGACGATCGGTTGCTGCTTGCTGCGGACTGCGTATCGTGGTCACGCTGCTTAGTTCATAGTTCAGCCTTTAACAACTGATCGCTCCATCTCCACTGTTTTGAATCACCGCTGTTACCGATTAATGGCTTGATTCGTGCCGAGTTTGATTTCTGTCGTGCTCGGATTCCTGCTTGGGCGCACGTGTGAGACAGTGTTGCAGCGGTTGGTAGAATTTTGACCTTATTCTCTAGCTGTGAGTGCCAGTGTTATCGGCACAGACTTAGGTTCATGTGTCTTTTGCGTTGAACTGCTCATTGAACCCATGCTCCCGTTTCCGTAGTTTAACTAGCTTGTTTGGATACATGTGTGAAGTTTTCATCTGATAAATTTTAGGAAATGCTGTTTTTGGCATTAAGTGATCTTATTAATATATATGGGAGGCCCAGAGTGTCTACCTTCCGTTATTTTGATTTCTGAATTGCCACGTTTCACACGAGGGCGGTCATGCATGTGTGGCACTACTAGATGTTGTTTGTACCTTCTCTATCTATGCACAGATTTTTCCGATTAGGTACTTGCTGAAAGCTATTTCTTCTTGTGCTATGGTGGACCATACTAGCATGCATTAGTTGTGATCCTAATGCCCTTATGAAATATTTATCACTACTTTGTAGGTTTAGCTGCTCCGAGTTTAGATAGGTTCCTTCAATGCATCGTGTTGGGAGTGCTGGTAATACCGCTGGCTCGACTCGACCGAGAAAGGAGAAGCGCTTCACATATGTGCTCAATGATGCTGATGATAAAAAGGTATGCTGTCTATTAAAATAAGCCATCGTTTGCAGCTCTTTCAGTTTTTCCCTTTAGAACTAGCTGTTTGCAGGTCTAATATATACATTTGAAACAATCCATATTTCATTCAAAGGTCTTGCTAATGCATTTATTTCTGTTTGTTTTCAGCATTGTGCGGGGATCAATTGCTTGGCTTATCTAAATGGTTCCACATTTAGTACAAGCGATTATCTTTTTAGCGGGAGTCGTGATGGTACCTTGAAAAGATGGGAATTAAATAATGGGGATGCAAGCTTCTCAGCAACTTTTGAGTCTCATGTTGATTGGGTAGGCCTTTTTCTTTTTTTTTTACTCAACTAGACTTGTTGTTTGAAACAGCAACCAGTGCTTGAAATAGCCATTGTGTTCATAAATTTAGTTATGTTTCTTTCAAATGTTCTCTCCGAGTTAGGCCTATCATATCCATTGCCCCATCTATATATTTAACATGATGTCTGAGGTCTACTATTTGGATCCAAAGCTTAGCACATTTGTTCTAGTGTCAAACTGTCCATATATTTTACCATCAACATTTTAATTGACATTTCGAGTTCGTTTTATTAACAGACATCTAGATTGATATGTTCAAGTTGGTTTCCATTATTTTCTGCCCTTTCTTCTTTACTTTTTCTTTTTTCCGTTCTTAGTTGCAATGTTTAAATCAGAGCACCACTGGTTTATATTCGACAAAATTTAACAAAGGGCTAATGTAAAAGCGGGACTTCAAATTATTTTTTTTGTTTGGCATATTTGCTAGATGCTTTGTTATTTTTTTTAGAACAAAACAACGTAACCTGTAAAGAAGAGTAGTTGCATGCTTTAGGATTAGTAGTTATCTGTGTCCTAATATGCCTGAAAATTTGGGAAGGTGGTGGCAGTGTATTTAGAGATACCTCCTTGGGAGTTTGAAACTAACACTTAATTTCTGTTTGTAAGTGGAATAGTAGCATGGCTGGGTGTTTTATATTGTTTAAACTTTTCTTTATTGTGCAGGTTAATGATGCCATTATAGTTGGAGAAAAGCTTGTTTCCTGTTCCTCAGACACCACAATAAAGGTTTGTTGCGTAACACTTTCTCCTCTTAAATATTGTTCGCTGGGCGTGCACATCTTTCATTTCCTAACTTCACAGGTCTGGAATTGCTTCTCTGATGGTGCCTGTACCAGGACTCTCCGCCAGCATTCTGATTACGTGATTTGTCTCGCTGCTGCTGAGAAGAATGTAATATTATCCACGCTTGTGCTTTTCTGTGGTACTTTTAGCTTTGTCATTTTTGGTTTTACAGTTGTTTTTGTGCCTCTGAATTGTAGAGCAATATTGTAGCCTCTGGTGGTCTTGGTGGTGAGGTTTTCGTTTGGGACCTTGATGCTGCTCTTGCTCCTGTAGCAAAATCTGTGGATGCAAAAGAGGATGAGGTTCCTAATGGAAACTCTGGGCCTGCTTTGTCAACATTGTGCAGCGTAAATTCTAGTAGCAATATTGCTTCCTCTAATGGTCAATCACATGGGTACAATCCAATTGCTGCCAAAGGTCACAAAGACTCAGTTTATGCACTGGCTATGAATGATACAGGAACCCTTCTTCTCTCTGGTGGCACTGAAAAGGTATCATGCTCTTCATCTAACAGTATAGAAATGGATTTTTTCTCTGTGATTAGGAGACCAGTCAACAGCCAGTTTCAGTAGGCATCCCCACCCCCCTAAAGAACTATTTACTTTATTTGCAGGTTGTCCGAGTGTGGGATCCGAGAACAGGTTCAAAAAACATGAAATTGAGAGGGCACACTGACAATATCAGGGCCTTACTTGTTGATTCTACAGGGAGGTTGGTGTTTAGGCATATGCTGTTCCAGTTCCTTGATGACATTGCTTAAACATTGAACCACATCTTCCTTATCACTGCACACTTCACTTTCATCCTAAATGCTGCCATGATTATGTATCAGTAATGTTTGAGTTTACGTATGTACGCATGTGTTGACAAATTGACAGTTGTAATACCAAGACATTTGTGTTTCCTGGTTTACAATTTAGGCCCTGTTTGGATGCAAAGTATTTTTGGAGTTTTAGAAAAAATCCATGGTTTTGCGAAACACATAAGTTTTGGAGCACCATGAAGTGTTGGATGCAACAAACTTTTTGGTTTTGAAAACCATAATAGTATTTTGTAAAACTGTAGTCTTTTTGGAGTTTTAAAAATTCCACTCTACCTCTTCTTTCTAAACCTTGGTTTTGCACATCATGCACATCTATGGGTTCTAAAACTGCAGTTTCTTAATACTATGGTTTCTTGATGCTACAGCATCCGAACATGCACTTACTGTTCATTCATAAAGATTTTGGATTTCTATTATTTGTGCATGAAAGAGAAGTTTGTTTATGGATGAGTTTACATATGTTGACTGTTGTAATACCAAGACATATGTTGACTGTTGTAATACCAAGACATCTGTGTTTCCTTGTTGTTTACCATGCTAGTACTCAGCTTGCCTGGTTTACTGCTTGCTCAGAAATATTTTGGACTTACAATTATTTGTGCATAAAGAGAAGTTTGTTTATGGATGCATGGTCAGCAATCTTTTAATGCAGTGCATATAGGATAATGTTTGCTCCAGAAACACTATTTGGAGTCAGTCAGCACTCAGAAATAACTGTTTATATCATCAATCAGTTCAAATGAGGAATTTAACCGTTTAGATTAACATGTTAACGTCAATGGTGACCTTAGTTTGCAGAGTCGATGTCCTGGTTACCATCCAAGTTGAGTAATGTGGCATGTAATCCACTTTCATGTTAGTGCAAATGAGTTGATGTGGAAATGGCTTATCCGCTTATGTGACACATTATATAACTATGACTATGATGGTTAAACCATGGTGGTGTACCTGGAGGCAGCTGTTTTTTTCACATTTTAACCTGAATATGTTTTTGTATGGTCAAAATACTGATTTTCTGGATGATAACACTGAGTGATCTCTCACTGTGGCCTATCAGTTAAGTCCTGTCTGCTTTCACCAAACCACGTGCTAATCATTTTTTAACGATGTTTTCAGGTATTGCCTATCAGGATCATCTGATTCCATGATAAGGTAAACACGCAGCTCCAACATCCCAACCATCTCCCTCTGTTCCATGTGCTTAGCATAAATGCTGTGATTAGTTTGACATCATAGGTACATATTTTTATATACTTTGCAGACTATGGGATCTAGGACAGCAGCGTTGTGTTCATTCTTATGCTGTGCATACTGATTCAGTTTGGGCGCTTGCAAGCACTCCTTCATTTGGTCATGTCTACAGTGGTGGAAGAGACCAATCTGTGAGTTAATTGTTTTGTGTGTATTATTGAATAGTCACTATACTTCTTCATTCTGAACTTTTATGTATTCCCTGTATTGCAGGTATACCTAACTGATTTGTCCACAAGAGAGAGTGTTTTACTGTGCACAAATGAATACCCTATTCTACAGTTGTCTCTGCAAGATGACACAATATGGGTGGCAACAACTGATTCTTCTGTTTATGGATGGCCAGCTGAAGGGCGCACACCCCAAAAGGTCTTCCAAAAGGGTGGTTCATTCTTAGCTGGGAATTTGTCATTCTCAAGGGCAAGAGCATCTTTAGAAGGATCAGCACCTGTAAGCATGAGGGTTATCTTCTTTGGCCAAATTATATTTCTTTTTTTGAAGACGCTGTACCACATGCCATGATTTTTGGGTTTCTGCAGACACACCATTAAGTTACTCTGTTTACTAGTAGTATGAAATATACGGGCCATAATATGGGTGTCTGTTGTGCATAGTTGACACCATACTTGCAGGTGTAGAGGTTAACTTGAACTTGTCTAAGTGCTATTTTTGGTAGTATTAATTGCATAGGATCTAAAAAGTTCTGTAAAGAAATAAGCTTAAGCTTGAGATCTTTCCCAAGTGCTCCCAGTAGGTCTTTCTTCTCAGTCTAGTATTCTGGTGATTAACGGTTTCACTTTAACTTCTTAACCTACTTACTATTCGGTTGTTGCCCTCTAGGCTCTAGTGTAATTTTAACTAATGGTAATTAATAAGGGCTTGCGATCTATTTCATTTTAGGTTCCTGTATACAAAGAGCCATCATTTGTTATCCCAGGAGTTCCAGCAATAATTCAACATGAGATAATGAATAATAGAAGGCATGTACTGACAAAGGTGAGATTTTTTTTACTTATCCTTTATTACTAAACTGCAAAGAGTGCCATCATGATATGTGCACTCATCTCCTTCAATGCAGGATACCACTGGTTCAGTCAAATTGTGGGAGATCACCCGTGGTGCTGTTATTGAAGACTTTGGCAAGGTTCTTGTTTGTCCTCAATTTCTTGGATGTTTTTCCCTCGGATTTATACACATTGTTAAGAACTAAAATCTGCTCATTTGTATCCCATTTTTTAATCACAGCAGTTCTTACTTGATAGCCTTTTGAACTAGCAAGATTTTTGTAGAATGCTAAACTCCTTCATTTTGATTATGCAGGTTTCTTTTGAAGATAAGAAAAAGGAGTTGTTTGAGATGGTATTACTGAAATGTCATGATTTCTATGTTTTATTAAAAAAATGCTGTGTAATTTGTTAATTGATTATTGATTATTAGGTAAGCATACCTGCTTGGTTCACCATGGATGCTCGATTAGGATGCTTGTCTGTCCACCTGGATACTCCACAATGCTTTTCTGCAGAAATATATGCGGTTGATCTAAATGTTGCTGGAGCACAAGAAGATCTCAAGGTTTGTACAGCAACATATCATTGTGTGTACTGGTTACATCTGTTTTCACACTTCAGTCTATAGAATTTTGTTGACCCTTTGAATATTGCTGTTAAGAGCGTAGGAAAGATACTTTTCATCGTTGATGGATTTTTAATTCTTATTTGCTGAATAGTATTTATGACACATCAATAACATGCATTTTGGCAAAACTATGATTGCTGCTACCTACTGTTCAGTGAAGTGAGATACTGAGTCTACCCAATCTCATCTTCTGAATGGTTCTCCCAATAATTGTGCAGATTAATTTGGCTCAAGAGACCCTTCGGGGTTTGCTAGTTCATTGGAGTAAAAGAAAGCAGAAATCTAGTTCGCACAGCTTGCCTAATGGTGATAGTTCAATAGGGAAAGATGTTCCGTCAAAAGACTCGCCCCGGTCAAGATCTGAGGTGGACGATGTCACTGAAAACCATGCAACTCATGTGCTTCCATCATTTGAGTTTTCTACAGCTTCACCTCCCTCAATTATCACGGAAGGTTCTAGTGGAGGGCCTTGGAGAAAGAGAATTACCGATTTGGATGGAACTGAGGGTGATCTTCCATGGTGGTGTGTGGACTGTGTTACTCACAATCGATATCCAAAGGAGAATACAAAGTAAATGCTTAATACAATTCCTAATTTCTCCTCAGATGATATTTTTCCCTTGATATATGATATATCTTAAACTTTGTTCGTTGTCTGGGAAAGATTAACTTGGAACATAATATAGCACCCTTCTGTTTTCTAAATTTTAAGCTAATGTGGTTTTTAAGTTCATGGTGATTGATATGTCTTCAAAACAGTTCAGTTGGGGAGAGCTTTCATAATATTTCTATTTAGCTGTGATTATGTGCTACTAACAGTATGCTAACTCAAAGACATTGAACTTCTATTTTTTAATGAATTGTTCATCTTTGAGTTCTGGTAACTACATATTACTTTATTCAGTCCTGTTAGTTTTTCTCCTGCACTATATCTTTATACAGAGAATCACATGCAGACTGTCCCTAGAGCTTTGTGTAGCCCAAACAGTCGGATAGTGAACTATTGAAAAACATGTGTGCACAAATACATGCATCAGCATCCAATATGGTTTTGTTTACGCCCTACTGGACATTTGAGCTACTGAAGATTAATGATGCTCCCTGGCCCCTGCTATATAAATGTGATACTGGGTGCCCTATGTAACCATTGCTTTCATGGATTATTTCTTCTTCTGATGTTTATTTCTTTATGTAATGCAGATGCGGCTTTTATTTACATCCTGCTGAAGGCTCGCCTGCACCAAACATAACTCAAGGGAAGCTTAGTGCTCCACGGATATTGCGAATTCACAAGGTAAGAGTTGTCTAAATCATTGGTCACAGCAAATGCAAGATATCATCAAATGGTGAATCCTCTAGCACACAACATATGATAAAAGCGGTTGTTGGAGATAGGGTGGGGGGTGGGGTGGGGGCGGGATGAACTTTGTTAGTAAACTAGTTTGCAAAACAGCTAACTATCTACATGTTTGCATTGGACTAGCCAAGCATATACCATTTTGCATGCAATCTTAAAATAGTGATGCTTCAGGACACTAGATTTGAATCATTCAGATATTTACAGCTTGACTGAATAGCATAGAGTAATTTATTGTCATTATAAAGGAACTTTATAAGACTATAAGTCATCTTATTTACTCCCTGAAAGTTTACAGCTATTCCATTTCGTTGTACAGGTAGCTAACTATGTGGTTGAGAAACTCGTGCTTGACAAACCATTGGATGGAGGCTCTGATAGTGCTTTTGTTATGGGATTGAGTTCTGCTCAATCACAGCTCTCAGCGCTAGATAGTTCTTCACGGCTTGGACTAAAGTCATGGCAAAAAACAAAGCCATGTATTGAGATATTGTGCAATAACCAGGCAAGTTCTCTAAATATAGCTATTTCATTATATAGTTACACGTTTTTACCTACATTACGAACAAATGGAAGAATACCCTGGTCCCTGTTTCTGTAGGAAAAGAAAATTGCACAATAAACTACGTACAACAAGCTTGTGTTGTCAGGAGATTTCAATTGATAATTTTCTCCATTTATTTTCCACCTTTGTTAATTGTTTTCTCCATCAATAGATTCCTATTATTATGGTGCTACTTTTAGCTCTCCATGTTTTCAAAGTTAGCTTCAGTGTGTAGACACCTTTTGAGCAGAATCCAAATCCTTAGCAGGTCAAACTCAGTTTTTCTGTAAATTCTGCCATACGCTCTTTAGAAATATATCTTCTGTTCCAGTTTGAACTCAATTAATAGAGATATTCCTGGGACTGTATTTATTTGTCTCATATATTTCCTGATATTCCCATGTTTGTAAATAAGCATTATAGAAATGTATTTGCAATAAACTACCCTTATCTCCAGAATCTAATGCTTATTTCATGTTCTTCCCCTATTGCTCTTGATTTATTTATGTGGCCTGCATTATAAAGCAATTTGCTGCATAGTCTGTCTTTTGCTGTTGGGCTAAAGTGTCCTCTGTGGATCAGGTTCTATCACCAGAGATGAGTTTGGCTACAGTGCGAACATATATATGGAAGAAGCCAGAAGATTTGATTCTTCATTATAGAGTGGTCCAGTCGAGATGATCACGGCTTCAGATGTACATGCTCACATGGTTCTCCAGATATGTTCAGCATGTCTGCACGATAGATGGTGTTGTTCAAGATCACCTTGGCTTAGAGAGGAAAACATCATCTTACAGAGGAAATATTTTGCTCTTGTGCCCTCGTAGCCGTTCCCAGAATCGCGACTTGTTTGCTTCTTTGTAAAGTTCCTGATCTTGCCCGGGTAGTAAGATGTATCATAGCACAGGTATAAGGTTCTCTGCTGGCTGCCAAGCTTGTAAATGTAGAAGATTGGGTTCTTAATAAAGATCAAATGGATATTTTTTTTTCGTTTTTCTTTGACAACGTTTGTAAGAAAAAAGGCTGATGCTCGGCTCAGACCGTGACGTTCCGAGGTCGATTATTGGATTTAACCCTGTCGCATGCTCTTGGACCTGTTTGTTTGAGATCAGGGTAAGAGGTGGACTGGATGTCGGGAGCAATAAAGCTGTTTTTGGTATATGTTTCGAGAGCTGCTATGCGCGACGGATTAGAAAGACTGCAGAGACTCGGAGATCTTGTGAACCTTTGCAGTACAGTTATGTAATTTTTTTTCCTAATAATAATAATAAACTCAAGATCGTACAAGTCGACAATGCGGGTCATGTGAGTTGCTGAATGGTGGTTTTTTTTTAATTAGCAAGGGGTGTTTGGCAGGGCTTCTCGAGGGGCTCCTCCGAAGGAGCCAGAGTCGTTTTGGATGAGTTATAATTTAGGGCTTCTTCAAAGTGTCTCTGGCTCCTCTGTTTTTTATTGAAAAATGGCTCCTTCGGCAAAACTTTTGGCAGGGTTCTCCAGAGGAGCCGGAGCCGGGGAGAAGCCCTGCTAAATAGGCCCTAATCATTTGACATTGAAGTATAAATGTAGAGTTTCTCTCAAAATTATGGTAAAAACTACCACCCTCGTCCCAAAACTAATTTAATTTTATGTACATTCTTTTTTTGTTAAAGTATCTAAAGTTTAAACATATATAATAAAAAACATAGATGTTGCGAAAGGGCTGTAGTCCTAGTGGTTACAAGAGTTTCAGTAGCACCTGAGCTCCGAGTTCGACTGTTCCCGTCAATAGGATTGTCAGCTCAGTTTTTGAAGGTGTTCATAGAGGTGAGTGCATATTGCATTATACTTGTGTAATCTCTAGAATATATATGTTTATGACACGACTGCCAAAAAGTGGTCGACACAACGATGGATGGTGGCTTCACGGCATCGGCGGCTGCACCAATCTTTGAGGATTGCTACAATATATGGAAAGATCTTCCAATGGCTACGATCGAGTATTGTGATAGAGAAGCGACTCAAGTTGCCCACGAGCTAGTTCGGCAAGCTTTAGTTGCAAAAGCTTGTTGTATTTGGGTTGATTTACAACCCACGTTTATTATTGCATTATTAGCAAATGATGTAACACTCTTATCTGATGAATAAAGCTTGCCGATTGGCTTTGTAAAAAAAAACAAATATACTATAAAAATATATATAATGATAATTATTTAATATCATAAATATTAATAATATTATATACAACTCTTCATACAAAATTATAAGTCGTTTTGACTGTTCTAGTACATAGATTTTACTATATATCTAAACATACGTTATATTTAGATACATAATAAGTTGATGTAAAAAAAAAGTATAAGCGACTTATAATTTGGAATGGATAGAGTAGTTAGGTAGATTTAAGATACTTCAACTTCATATTACACTAAAATAAGGAATTGAACTACAGCTTATTTGAACGTTAAGAATCAGTTTAAATTTATAGGAAAAACACATGAATGGAAAATTTTCCCCAACCGGTTGCTGGCAAAGTGGCAACGCAGTGGGCTCAGCGTATATACCTCGCCGGCGGGCGGTGGCAGAGGGAGGGAGGGAGCCGGAGCACCCACCCTCAGCTCCTTTCGTCGTTTCTCCAGCCACCCATTCCCGTCGTCCACGGTCACCGGTCGGGGGCACAAACCAAACAGCAAGTGGCGTCCTGATCGTTGATCGGCTGTGCTTGCGGCGGCCGCCGCAAGACTCAGCAGAAACGAGAGCACGGCCGTCTCGAGGCCGAGCAAACTCGGCACGGGCCGCCGGCCGGATCTTGACCTGCCGTGCCGGGCGCTGCAGTGTCCAACAGGCAGCAGCCAGCAGCGATCGCTCCCACATTCACGCAGACAGAGACAGTCACGCGACACGACACACCGGCTGTCCGGCTGGCATATTCCCCGTCCAAATCAATCAAGCACAGTGTGGCGGAGCGTGGCAGAACAAAAAAAGAAAGAGAAAACAATGAACGCAGCACAGTCGCATCACGCGCGCCCCGCTGCCCGTGCCCGTGGCGAAGAACCGGATCATGTTCTGGTCATGTGCCTTGCCCCGAGGCGGTGTCCGGTAAAGCGCCGGCCGCCACCAACCGGACACGATCATCACCGCTGCGGTCCTGCGGATCCCTCCGACCGCCCGCGTCCGGATCCATCTCGGTCTCGGCTCGATCGGCGGCCTACTTTGGCAGCATGATTCCATGCGGGTCCTGTGTTTTCCACGGGGCAGAAAACTGCAGGGCAGCCTCCCCGGACTATTTTATGGTGCTATTGGGTAGCACAACGGCGTGGATTCGAGGCCCGCTTCTACCCGATTTCCACAGGGTAAGGAGCCCGGACTAATGACACTGGGCGTCGATCCCCGTCTCGCATCCCTCGCTCGGGCGCTGCTTCCCCGTTCCGCTCGAGGCGAGGCTCGCAAGTCGCCGCCACCTCGACCTAGCATGCGCCATCGCCGCCACCTCGATTTCCGTCATAGCCTCGGTCGCCTCCTCCGTCCTCGCCTCGGTCGTGTCCTCCGTCCTCGCCTCCGCCGCCGGTTGCCTCGATTGCCCCCGCCGTCGATCGTCCGCCTGCCCTGACTAGACCTGAGAAGGTACTCATTCCCCTCCTAGCTCTCGCCAGATACTACTACACTCGATTTCTTGATCGATCTGAAAGGAACTAGTGCTTACTGCAAGATCTAGGTGTTCTCTGTCTTCTCTACATGAACTTTGTGTCTAACTTGATCTAGGAGTTGTACGAGCTTTGCACTGTTTGACAAATTACAGTAGAAAATCACAAGCACAGTGTAATCACTATGATGCATGGATTGAACTATCATAAATTGAAGTATTTTCTTTTGGAACAAAACTAGACCTACTTGTGTGTTAGCAGTTTCTATTTATCAGTTCCATCTGACTATTAATTAAGTGGAAAACTATATTTTTTAAGCATTATGGCCTTGGTGTTTGTTTCTGTATAGTTAATCCATGGTGATTTCATTACTGTTTCTTACGCTAACTACTAAATTACTATAGGTTAGGTATGTCTCTTCCCTATGTTAATCAGCACTAGATTAGTTTGCTACTCCAGTACTCATCGGTGAATATTTTGGCTGATGTATGTGAGCATGCAGCTAGTTATGTATTTGGATGAAGACAAGTAGCATTGAGCATGCAACTAGTTATGTATTTCATTTATCTTAGCATTGAGCATGTAGCTAGTTATGCATTTGGATGAAGACAAGTAGCTTTGACCATGCCGCCAGTTTTTTATCTGCTAGCTGCTCATCAAAGCAGTGGTATTCGATCTTGTTGGCATGAGTTATTTACATGATTACTTGTCCTTTTGGTGGCTGCAGTAGCTGTTTTTACTCAATCTTCTTGTCATGTACCTAGTTATTTACATTTTTTTTTGTTTGCAGGGTGCTTGTTGGTATCACTGCAATATGATGGTTTGGGTTCATTCGTGCTATTCAGAAACAAGGTATGTTACAACTTTTACTAAGTACATTTGCTAAGTATGATAGCTGCAATGGTTGGGGTCTATTATACTGTAGTAAGGTGTTGAGATGTTAGTACTCAGTAGTAAGGTGTTGTTGAGATGTTGCACTTCCTCCATGTATTACACCGGAAGAAAGCTGATAGGTGTAGCCTATAACTAACTTCCCACTCCATTCCATGTTTGTGTATGATAAAAAGAAAAGCCTCTACTGGTTGGTCTGAACTGAACTACTTTTACATGTGTTAGCAGCCTATTCGGCTAGGCTGGCTGGCTAGTCTTCTCACACGGGCACTGTTCATATGAACAGTGTCTTCCAGCATGAACAATATTTTTCTCTCACACCAAACTAGCCAGTAGTAATAATCCACGAACCAGCAGCTCCAGCCGAACATGGCGTAGCTTGCTGCAGCTTCATTCTTTAAACTTCTACTTTCTTATATGATACATTCATGTACAAACTTGTTGGGGAAAAGCCAAATTTGTCACAAGAGTTCACCATTTTTGTTTTATGTTATTTGCAGAGGTTTTGGTGGAAGAAATGCATGACAAACAAGTGAAGTGTGGTCAAGTTTTGTAATGATTGTTGAACATTTTTGGCTTCTATGTTATATGTAGCTACACAAAGACTTGATTTCAGTTGGATACCTATGTATTTTTATGTAAAAAAACTTATTTCTAAGATTTTTTATTTATTTATACAATACGAGCATCGATATGTAGTGACGTTGTTATATCATTTTCTTTTATGAATTTTCTTGATTTTTTGTATTTTTTAAAGATGTTTTTATACTATATCAGTCAAGATTTCCTATAATTTAGGAGGAAAATATGTTATCTGACAATTTTATTTATGCAATACATCACATAATCTATTTCTCTGCAACTCTGGGCTTCCAAACAGCCACAAAAGAAATAACCCCGCACGTGAAATCTCCCCTCCGGGAAGAGATGGATTAGCATGTCCAGAAAAATCCCTCCCCGTCGGTTTGCTTCCCTAGAATAGTCCCCCCGAGCTGCCAAAGTAGCCCTGAGACGCCTGGCCCGGCGCCGTCTCGCTGCCGCGTGGGCCCAGCGACTGGTGCCCTGGAGAGATCGTACGTACGAGTAGGATTGTTAAGGCCACCGTAGAACCGTACGAGTACTCGAGTAGTAGCTTGGTGTACGTACAAATGTGCGCTGGTACCAGATGTCAATTAAATTGGTCGCATAGTTCAAATTTAAACTCCACGGCTCGCCGCACAGTGACGTGTCGAGAGGATTACAGTTAACCAGCCGGCCAAAAAATCCAAAAAGAAAAAGAAAAAAATCCCTTCGCTTTGTTTCTTGTTTTTATCTGCCTTTTTCTCTGTTTGATTGACTTGTGACCAAACCGTGTACGAGTACAATGCTACTCCTACGTAGTACTACTACTACGCTAGCACTGGCGCCATCAGGTGGGACCAGCCACGTCAGCACACAAGGCCTGGCCCACTGACTCTGCGGCCGCGGGCCCACGGGAGAGACTCCGGCGACGCTGCTGTCAGTCGGGCCTCGAGGACCGTGGACCAGCGACCGTCAGTCCGTCACCGCCGCTGCCGCACTTTCGGGCCAAAACCGGGCCGGGCCAGGAAACCGAAAGCGTCATCCTACGGAGCCCGCTTTCCGGTGGAGGCGGACGATACCGTGACGACACTGTAGACTAGTCGCTTTCCAGGAAGGCGGAGGCGCGGAGCGAGAGGGCTTGGGCTTCGACCGCCGCTGACAAGTGGGCCTGGCGTACCCGCCCCCGCCCTAATCCACCTACCTGTACCTGTACCTGTACAGCTAGGCCATCATGGCCCCCCCCCTATTAATTCCCGTCCGCTCCCTCGCCCGCACGTGCCGCGCGGCGAGCTCGCGTCGCTGACAGGTAGGTCCACGTCGTGCCGAAAGATGCTGCTCCCGGGCCCCGCTGCACCTGCGGCGCCACCTGGCAGTGAGGGCGAGCCCAGGCATTAAAATCCCCTTACCCACCTGTCTCCTTCCTCCTTCCTCCTCTCTCTCTCGTCTGCTCCACCACCACCACACCGCTTTGCCGCTCCGACCCGCCTCCCCGATCTCCGCACGCTCCGGCGAGCGGGGCCCACCGGCCGAACATCCCCCCTACGCCGACGCTGTCGTACGCGCCGCCATTAGGTGTCACCCGTCCTTGCGCCGCCGCCGCCGCCCGTAGCCTTCGACTTTCGATCTGCGAGCTAGCGATTCGCCGCTGAGGAGTGGGACCCGTCCCTCCGCAGCCGAACCCCAAGGCAGCCGCCGCACGCGGCGAAGGCCCAGGCCACACGCGTCATCCTCACGCCGAACGACCGACGCTGGTGGAGCGCGGTCCACTCCCCGCACGCGCGCGCTTCGCCTCCCGCTGAAACCGCGCCCCTGCTGGTGCGAGTGTCCGGGAGCTTCCAAACCCTAGGGCCGGGCATCGACTGAGTGAGGGAGAGCGGAGCCTAGGCCTCGCCGCCCGCGGGGATCGAGGGAGTGATGCGCGGATCGGGGCGGCGGGCGCGGCGCGGAAGCTCGGCCGCATGAGGTGCCTCGTCGGCGGCGGCGTCCAGGACAGCCCGCGCGCAGCGGTCAAGAGGGTATCGCCGGCGTCGTGGCGGCTGGACACCGCCGCGGGGGAGGCGGAGGCGGAGGCGGAGGCGGGCGCGGGGGGAGCGGCGGCGGCCAAGGGGCGCAGGGTCTGCTTCAGGCCGCCGGACGTCATGGAGACAGTGCACGAGGTGGCCATTTACATCCACCGCTTCCACAACCTCGATCTGTTCCAGCAAGGGTGAGAATTGGTCGTTTTTTTTTCTGTAATTCATATGTTTTTTTGGTAGCGAAAACTTTTCTCGGGTTTAGTTTCTTTACTGCCTTTTAGGGAGAAAACATGAAAAGTTCAGAGTGCTTTGAGGTAAAGGGTACGACCGCTACGCATTCCTAGGCCAAATGTTTGGATTTACTCGAGCATATCGGCGTTCCTTTCCTTGGCTTTCTCGTTCGGTCGGTTGTTTCCAGGCATTTCTTCTCGCAGCTCGGGAATTCTGATTTTCCCCATGATTTTGTTCCCCTCAGTCCCTCACTGCAGCTTTGTTCGTGAGTTATGAGCAGACAATTCTCACTGATGCCGCATGTGAAGCCTTTCTGTCACTTGTCTTGAAGTGTAAACATTTACTGTTTATTTTTCTTTCTTGTGAGATGATTTTTGTATTATATGCAGATGGTATCAGATGAAGATTAGTGCAATGTGGGAGGAAGGTGGCAACAAAACACCGGCTTCGCCTGCAAGGGTCGTGCAATATGAAGGTGTGCATCTCTCTGGGCACTGAATAGCGTGCTTGCATTGGAAGCGAATGTTTAGATTGGTACACGTGCTAGCATGCATTTGGTAACTGCTTAATTGTTGTCCGTAGTAGTACCAGATGCTATCTGGACCATATGATACTTAAGATACTGAAAACAGAAACTTCCCAATTTACATGGGAGTATACATTATGATTTTCAGAGGTACCCTGCGTCTAGAGACTACCAGACCATCTTTGTTTCCATCTAAATTCTACTTTGATAGCATCAAGAAGTTTGTCACGCAGCTGGATACGGAACATAACTGTGCAAGCGTGTCATAAATAATATCCCCTTGTTTCTATTACTTAGAGCAAATCTAACAATCCCAACAGTTTTGTAAATGCTATATTCCTTTCATTGTCACCACAATAGTCAAATTGTGCAAGCTCAAGGATACATTTCACTTTCGTGTTAAAGTGATGATGATGAAACTACTGAAAAGTCTACTGAAAAGTGAAAACACAACTAAAGTATGACCATGAGGGAGCTCCTGTCAAACTTTTTGCTGTGGTGTTTATGGAGAATGTGAACACATTTGCACTGGATCATATCTTGAACTTGTTTGCCAATGATGTAGTCTCCAGATCCCTTTTTGTTATAAATTAGAGAAGTATCTCAGGGGATTTTGGTTGTTGTTGATCCTTTTTTGAAGTCCTCTCTGTCGCTGTCAATCTTTTAGCTAATAGATAATGACATGGTAGGTGGATTGTGCAGCTTCTGATGTTGGTGCGGATGATGCATTGGGCATTTGGAGAATAGATGACGTCGACAATAGCTTCCACACACAGCCATTTCGGATCAAGTATGCCAGACAAGATATCTATCTATCGGTTATGGTGTCTTTCAACATATTAAATAGTGAAGAGGAGGTTGGCACTTTGACATATCACCTTTTTCATTAATTAAAATTACTGTACCCTTATTACAGTCTGGTATGTTTGTTCAAGGGTCCAGCAGCTTCGGCTGTGATGTTGAAGTTTGAGCTGATATATGCCCCAACCCTAGACAATGGGTGAGTAGACATTTTACCACTTGTGCTCTCTCTTACAAGACTTTCTGCATACTAAAGTGCACATGTATGTACAAATATCATTTTGCAATACTGACCATGCTTTTGCTTTTCTGAGTTCTAGGTCTGAGCTTCAAGCTTCTAGTGTCACATCTTCAGCAGCTGTGCACGAATTTAGAATCCCACGCAGAGCACTCCTGGGTCTACACTCCTACTGTCCAGTTCACTTTGATGCGTTCCACTCTGTGCTTGTTGATCTGACATTACACATAGTGTACCTGAAAGCTGGTGCAATTAAATCATCATTGAAGGTACACAGGTTTGTGAAGCTTTAGCTTTAATGTTCTTTGAAAATGGCGGTCCAATGCATGCTTGTTTTACGTTGTAACAACCTAATAACTTGGATACTGTGAATAACCTCTGTCATGTCCATATAAAACTGTACATTGGAATGCTTAGCTCAAATCTAGTGCTATTCCAGATCGAAGCACTTGGAGTTTGAATGCATAAATAAAAACAATACTTTTAACACTCCCGGCACAACTCTTGTGGGATGGGCTGGGAACAGTACTGGCGTAGAGATGCAACTCTGAACCTTTTTAACAATCTTGCAATGCTCAGGAGTTGTTTGAAATAAATGTCTGAGATCAAACTCTACAGGTTCAAATTTACTTCATAGTTTAGTGGTCTTTTTTTTCTTGAAAGCTCAGGTGAGCTGCGTTTCTTTGTACTAAGAAGGGAGTCATCATTTACTCTCTCCTTTTTTGAAATTGTAAATCGTTTTAGATTTGTCCCAGGTCAAACATGTCTTGCTTAGTAAATGCAGCGTCAAAATATATTTCGCGGTGTATTTAATCTAATGAATCCGGTTTGATGTTGTAGATTTTTGTGCATTTTTCTATGAACTTAGACACTTAGTCAAAGTGAGAGAAATTTGAATTAGGAAAAGCTAAAATGTCTTACAATTTAGAACGGAGGGGTATTGATTTCCCAATAATTAGATCCTGCAGTGGTTGATTGTCATGTTTTTATTGTATTTTATTGAACATTTGAGTAAAAGTGGCATTTTATTTGCAGGTACCAGACCAAGGTTTAGGTCCTACATCATATAACATTGTTAAGGCATTATTAACTTCTAGAAAAATGTTGCTTGAAGAACTCAACAAAATCAGTGGTGCTATTGGTAAGACAGTCGAGGATTTAGATGCTGCTGACTTGAATCTTGGTAAATATGAGTCATTCAATGCATCAAAATCTGGACTACCGAATTCTAGTAAAGTGTTCCCTGCAACTGGCAAGGGTGTGGGACAGTTGGCTGGAATTTTACATGACTTCTTGGAGGTATGCTTCATTTTATGCTTATGATCATCTTGGATATATTAACGACAAGAAAGTTGTGGATTTAAAATGTGTTACGTCTGGCTTCTGCAGAGACCCAACGATATGGTTAATGGTACAGATGATTCTATGCTGTATACTCTTCCCCAGGAAGAGCTGTTTGAACTGTTTCTAACTCTGAGTGGACAGCTTTCACTCCTATGGAATGCATTCTTGAAATTTCATAGGCAAGTGTTCTGTTGATTTTATCATGTACTTAAAGCGATCATACATTCTATGTTTGCCATGTCCAACAATATTCTCTTGATCTATTCAGGCTAAATAAAACAAAGATATTGGATTACTTGCACGATGCTTGGGCTATTGATAGGAAGGCAGAATGGTCAATATGGACTGTTCACTCAAAAATTGAGATGCCTCATCGCTATCTGCGGAGTATGACTGATGACTCATCTCACCGTCATTCCCTTCTTAGAGGTTCTGTCTCAAGGAAGTTCCATGACGACGTAATTGCCCTCGCCAAGAAGTTCTATTCATAACTAGTATTTTATCACTCCTATCTCTATTTAACAGTCTATATATGTGTGCAGCCTGTACAGAACTCTGCTTCACGAGCGGAACTACACAGGAAAAGCATAGCACAAATGAAGGTTTGACACTGTTCTGTTCTTTAAGAATAGTTGAGTGCAAAACTTGCCCCTGAAACATGTACTGATTTGATGCAGATCAATACACAGTCTGTTCAAGATATGCATATATATGCTGATCCTTCACGTGTTCCTGTTGTTCTTATAGAACAACATGTCATGGTTGTTCCACAGCATAGTTCCAGCAAGGATCTGGCTTCGAATGCTTCTGAACAAAAGGATACTATTGTGCTACCTAAACTACAAGGGGAGTCTCTGGTACCCAAAAGTAGTGCTGGTAAAAAAAGTGGACGCATCTTGCGAGCTGTCATTTTTGTGCATGGTTTTCAGGCAAGCTCCATTCCCCTCTTTTATGCTTGATCTGAGTTAAAAGTAATACTTATCTGAACCTTACTCTTATTTAAATAAACAGGGTCACCATTTGGATTTACGTCTTGTTAGAAACCAATGGCTTCTATTGGATCCTGGAGCTGATTGCCTAATGTCTGAGGCTAATGAAGATAAAACATCTGGAGACTTCAAAGAAATGGGTATTAGGTTGGCTGGGGAGGTAGTTGCCTTCCTGAAGAAGAAAATGGATAAGCTTTCAAGATACGGAGGCTGCAAAGAGCTGAAGTTAAGTTTTGTTGGCCATTCCATTGGGAACATCATCATTAGAAGTGCCCTGGCAGGTCTCTTCCAACTTTCCTAACAAATCTTTTCAAGAATCTGATAGATATAATGCTGATTGTTTGCCCCATCCTAACAGAACCTGCATTGCAACCATACTTGAAGAACCTCTACACGTACATGTCAATATCAGGGCCTCACTTGGGTTACTGGTACAGTTCAAATTCTTTGTTCAATTCTGGACTCTGGCTGCTGAAAAAGCTCAAGGGAGCGCAATGCATCCATCAACTCACTTTCAGTGATGATCAAGACCCCCAAAATACATACTTTTATAAGCTTTGCAAGGTACGAAGTCCCCATCTGGAGTAACTTAGGCCATTCGACTTGGTGATTTATGCTAGATTTTATTCACATCAAGATGAATTTATGATTAACTATTATTGTTCTTGTTCATACAGTTGAAAACATTGGAGAACTTCAAAAATATCATATTGTTATCATCACCACAGGTTATTCTCTTTTCTCATCTCTAATAGTAATTTACTTGTGTGTGGAATTTGTTTTGCTGCAGTAAAATTTGGCCTCTATAGTCCTTATAGCATGTCATGAGTCATGGATGCACATCTTTTTGTTCTTCCAGGATGGCTATGTACCATATCATTCAGCGAGAATCGAGCTCTGCCCAGCTGCATCATCAGACACCTCAAAGAAGGGTGAAGTCTTCACAGAAATGCTCAACAACTGCTTGGACCAGATCCGTGCGCCCTCATCCGACACCAGGACATTCATGCGCTGCGATGTGAATTTCGACCAGTCCAACCAAGGGCGAAGCCTGAACACCATGATCGGCAGAGCAGCCCACATCGAGTTCCTGGAGACTGACCTCTACGCCAAGTTCATCATGTGGTCCTTCCCTGACCTGTTCCGATGACGATGACACCGCTCGTCTTTGTAATACTGCCACATACCAAACCAATAGCGCACACTACTGAGTACTGACCAGGCAAGGAAAATTAAGCTTGCATAAAGGTTGCGACAGGCAGGTAGCACTGTAAAGATCCTAGAAGCAATGATTTTTCCAGCTTGCTAGATCCTATTCTGTATAAATAGTTGATTCTTTTTTCATTTCATTCATAGTGCTGTAGATGTGCACCCTTGCTGTGAATTTATAATCCTTGTCGTCTGGTGTGCTGACAATCAGTGAGCTTATGCCCAAATAAGCCTTTTTTTGTACATTTGATTTTTGGCCACCTTCGTTTTTGTGAATGCTGTAAAGCCTGCAACCTGCTTTGTACTTGTACATGCAGACGATAGATCTGGATGGTCCTGCCTGCCCTTGCCGTCCAGGGTGTTGTTTCTGTTTGGTGAAATTGGTATAGGAATATTTGTTCTGGCATACAGTACGTACTACCATAGCTGGATCTGCATGTGCTTCTAAGGGCTTCCCTAATGCTGCATTTTTACTAGTAGCCCTAAATGTCATGTGGGATCGGATAAAAAAAAGTAGGTGCGGATAAAAAAAAGTAGGCGTTTTATACTTGTCATAGTAGTTTGTACAAGCTATATATGCTTAGAGGAGAGAGAAGATGATCCATGCTAAAAAAAAAGGAGAGGAAGTAAAGGTGAGGTACGATAAAAGGAAAAAGTTTCTTTACAAATCATAAGTAGTAATAGTTTGTATTATGTGAATATTAGTCTTAACATTTTCTAATCTACATGGATCACTTTATTTGTACTAGAACCATTAGGAGTGTTAGGGTTTGCAAAGAAATTTTTTCCTTTCATCATACCTCACATTTATTTACTCTTCTCTTCTTTTTTTTTAGTATGGTCACCTTCTCTCTCCAAACATATATATAGCTTCTGCAAGCCACCATAATAAACATAGAACATCTACTTTTTTATTTATTTAATCCTTACATGTCACCTGAGGCTACCGGGAAAAAAAAAGCAGCGTTGGGAAGCGCTTAGGTGGTGCCCTAAAACTGTTTCCTCATGCCGTCCGTGTCTCGTGCGGTCAGGCTCGTGTCAGGGCTGCGTATGTGCGTGACGTGCTGGCTTTTCCGGTGGCAGGCGAGACCCCCATGACTGGTGTGGATGTTGGCTGCACGTCTGAACCCTTGTCCTGTCCAGAAGAGAACAGCAATTCTGGTATGCAGTTGACTGTTGAAAAAGCAGAGGTGGTTGATCCTTTCAGCACCGGGTCAAGGCGACGAACGATGGGAGACTACGCAGCCGAACCCGGTCGTCGTGCCGACCTCCGGCGGTGACCAGTGGTGTGAGGGGGCCTGTCTGTCGCCGCCGACGGAAACGTGACGCGAGGGACCGCGGCTCGGGTTGCCATTACGGCGACCAACAGTAGCAGCCAGCCTGCCGGCCGTCCCGGGGACGGGGAGAGCGACGGCATGTTGCTGTTGCTGCAGCACCAGCTGGGCGAGAGAGCCTACCACTGCTGAACAGAACAGAGCTGCCCTCTGCTCTGACCAAGAACAATTCTGCAAGGGTCCCCAGAGGACAGCTCACGGCAGTGACGGGCATCTGGATTGCTGAATTGGCTGATGCCCAAACGAAACAAGCTTCTCCCATGTCATCCTCTGGATCACCATAAAGCATCCAAAAATGTGAGACGAGTAATCAGTAGATGGGAAATGTTTGACCATCAGCAGATCAGATGATGGTGGATTCCAGCTGCATTTCAACAAAAGCTCGCAAGGAAGACGACCTTTCCTAAGTTTCTGCTAACTACAGGTGTCAAATCTAGCTGAAACAAACGCTACGATCAGCAAACGTGATGATGATTGGACATTTCGGAGTGCCCAAAGAAAAATGGCGATTGCATTTATGTTCAGCGAGAAACGGCTGGTGCTGGTTCAACGCTTGGTCAGGACATATCAGTCTTTCTTTTGAGAGTGTAACAACATACAGTTTTTAACAGAACACAAGCCAATTGATTCATCGTGAACCCAATCAAACATAATTTGCCAAACATAGCATATTGTCCAAATATGCTCATCGCAAATTTTCAAATTCAAATCACACAGAACATGTGTGACAGCGTGTAACCTTCAGAAAGCAAAAATATACGAACGATACCAAACTGTAACCGGCAATTTCAGTTACAGAAGAAAGCTCGCTTCCCCCATTTCCATAACTCCTGGAGTACATCAAAGATCACATGTCTCAAGTGATCATGGACAACTTTAGAGCACAAGAAGACCATATATTCTATTAACATTCTTTGCAAAGCAACTTCCGAAATCAAATCTTTGCAACCCAAAACATGCCATCCATCTCAGATTATTTTTAGCGGCAAATTCAGTCGAGGGAGAAAACTATTTTCCCCTCGTTCCATCTTAATAAGTAGATCAAATGTCACATTTCTGAACGATCTTGTAGAACTATAGAAGTAGAACATAATAACAGGTTAGTCATTAATCGGCCACCATGGCTAACAAAAATTGGATGAAATATTATATATATACCAAATGCAGCATCAAAAACATGGGAACTAAGCAGCCATCTTTACATCATGATGACAACATTCAAATCCCTTCTTTACAAGAAGACACAGATATACGTACTCAATATGACCAGAGAACATAAACGAGCAAACCAAGAAGCAAGAAAAGCTACCTAGGGTCGCCACATTGCCCAATTGCAGGCAGAATTCCGATCGGCGGGCGGGCGAATCAAATCAGTCGGCATTGTGCATGGATGAATCGAGGCCATCGACGCGGCTGCGCACAATGCGGTGGAACACCTCGCGCACCAGCCTTTCCAGCGGCTCCAGGCCGTCCCTCATGGCTTCGCACACGGCGGCGAGCTCCGCGGCAGCCTCCCGCACGTCGTTCTCCCTGTCACCGAAGAGCGGGATGGGGGCCGCGTCGATTGCCTCGGCGAGCTTCTGCGTGGACTTCTCGAGCGAGTGGATCTCCTTGAGCAGGCCGCAGGAATGGCGCCTGTCCTTGCGCTTGCCCTCCTCGGCGAGGCGTTCCTGCAGGGCGAGGAGAGGCGGCGCCCAGGGGAACGCGGCGCGCGGCGGTGCCGCCGGCAGGTGGTGCGCCTGCAGCGCGTTGCCGCGGTCCGGGCACGGGACGGCGGCGACGAGCGCCCAGGCTGTGAGGTGGAGCACGCAGCCCATGGAGTAGACGGGCGCGGCGAGGCCCGCCTCGTGCGCGCGCGGCGCGGCGAGCCCGGCCCCGATGGCCTGCAGCTGGCGCGCGGCGGACCAGGTGCGGGACACGCTCCAGGAGAGGGAGCGGAAGTGGGAGGCGGAGGCGGAGGCCGCGGCGCCCGCGACGGCGGTGCGCGACGGGGACGCCCGCGCGCGGCCGAAGGAGCGGTTGCGGTGGGAGGAGAGGAAGGAGGCGACGCCGCCGGCCCCCGAGGCCGCGGCGGCGTCGTCGACGAGCAGCGTGGAGAGGTCCGTGAGCGCCTTGCGCGCGCGGCGGAGCTGGCCCTCGTGGACCTCCCCGGGGGCCCCCAGCGCGGAGGCCGCGATGTCGGCGAGGCGCTCCCAGCGGCGCACCTGGTCCACGCCGTCCCGCGCCGCGTTGCAGACGTCGAGCGCCTTGACGGCGCGCTCGTGGAACTCCGCCACCATCCTCTCGGCGGCCACGGGCAGCTGCGCCCCGGCGCGGCGCCGCGCCTGCGCGACCACGACGCGGAACTCCTCCTGGCACAGCACGAACGCCTCCAGCAGGCGGCGGATCCACGCGGCGGAGAGGAACTCGTCGCCGCCCGCCGCGGCGGCGGCGGCGGCGGAGGCGTCGCCGGCACCGGCGTCCGCCGCGGGAAGCAGCTCCGCGAGCGTGGACGCTACGTGGCGCTGGAACGCCTCGAGGTCGGCCTCCTCGCCCGACGGCATGATGGCGGTGGTGTCCCTGCGCAGCGAGAGCAGCGAGCGGCCGAAGGAGAAGGGCGAGGAGGTTGAGCCCTGGTAGTCCGTCACCGGCATCGCCCGGCGTCCGGCGATCCTGCTCGCCGCCGGCCCGGAGCGGATCTCGTCTCTCTCTCTCTCGCCTGGGCAAGCGAGCGCGGGCGGGCTTCGCGGGCTGTCGGGTGCGCGCCCGCTAGTGGCGTGGCGAGGGCGAGGCTCGTTGGCGATGGGGATGTGGGGTGGGGTGGCCTCCCTCGAGGACGATGGGAGGGGGTGGTGGGGAGGTTTTATATGAGGCCGCGAGATTAGGGTGGTGATTAGTTAAATTAAGCGGGATAATTAGTTAACGAGTTAAATATACCGTAGATTCATTAACTTTTAATGATGTGTCCATCAACTTTCAAACTGTATTTTGGATTCATTAACTTTGGGTGGTGTGTTATCCAGATTCATCAATTTTCAAACTGCATTTTGAGTCCATTAACTTTTGGTGGTGTGTCATCCAGGTCCATCAAATTTCAAATTGTATTTTTTAGTCCCTAAACTTTTTCGCCCTATTTGTTTGGCTTATAAGTCATACTTTTTAGCCAAAAAAACAATATTTTTCTCTCACAACAAATCAGCCAACAGTACTTTTAGTCATAGCTTATTAGCCAAGCAAACAGGGCATTTAACTGGTTCACCATAGGTCCATACCCCTTCGTTTAACGAATAGATCTGACATGGCATACCAAATAAGTAGCCACGGTGGAGTAGGTGATGAGTCTATAGCTCCTCAAGATATTCATGGTGACTTGTCTAGCAATAATTTAAATATAGCCGCGTTGGTAATTCGTTAATATCATATGTTCTTAAATTTAGGACTATTATTTTTAAGGATAAATATATTGTGGACTTGAAAAAATTTATAACTGCTGGACTGTCATCAAAGATATTTTATAGAGGTGTCTTATTATTGCGTGAAAATGAGGAGAAAATAAAGCCAACAAAATACATCAGTATTAATTCTAAAGAGGTGGAGATCATTCATGGAATTTTTCCAACGTGATTAG